CGTTTTGTGAGAAATAAGGTCAAAAGGATCACCAAAATCACATGGCAAACGGAAAAAAACATCGCGCTGGTTGGAAAACTGCACTTGAGCACCGAAACCTAAAGAGCATCGGTTTTCCGATCATTCTCTCGTCAAATGTTTGCTCAATTCTTTCTGAGCTATCGGACATCGGTCTTCTTATTCACTGCGGAGAGTATTCCAAAAGTTGTGCTACTATTCCAAGAATCTTAGTTAGAAGAACCCGTCGTGGTCGAATTGGTTCAGATCGAAGGCTTCCAATTATTTCGTGCATATAGACCACCAGGAAGGAAAACTAAAGGTGGCCGCATCATCACATATGTGCGCCGGTCGTGGTGTAACTCCACCAAATGTATATTCACTCACTGTACACAAAACATTTCTTGTATTTCTGTAGAATATAAACTACGTTTTCTCCTGCGTCACTGTTCGATTATCTTTTCAAATCTATACATCACTCCTGACTGTACTCCTAGTGAGTTGTCTACCTTCCTGAATGTATTCTGTCCAATCATGTCGGAGCAATCTGTCACATCTGTATTCGTCTTTGCTGGCGATTTCAACAGATCTGATCAGTTTTTACACACTTATGTCCCTTCAGAACATTGTTACTTTTTCCATTCGAAATTATGCCTTCTTGGACCAATTTTTCGTTAACGAACCATCTTTTCGTGTCTTTAAACGTGCACAAATTGGCAATTCTGATCACCGTCTAATTAAAGTTTTACCTACGATATATGGTAAATGCAAGCAACAAATCCTTACGAAGAACAATGTACGTAAGAAACTTATACGACGAGATCATCCGGCCAATTTGGTGGAATTCAAATCCATGGTCGCTGGTACGGACCTACAACTTCTCTTCAGTCTCCTGTGAGAACCTTACCAATTATCTCGACTATTGTTATGACGTGTGCTTCCCTCAAGAAAGGATTCACCTACAGCCCAACCGCTTCATCTCTGATAGACTGAAATGGTTACGTAGGCTGAAAGAAAGGACGTATCGCTCAAGAGATAAACTGATAGTCAAATCTGTCAACTTTCATATCAGAAGCGAGAAAGCCCATCTCAATCAATTGTATGTTGACATCGTGCTAGGAGACAACTCCTACCGTCAGGCATGGAACGGACTGAAGTTGCTCTGTGGTCGTTCAACTTTACCTACTACAGTCTCGTGTGACATCAATGAGCTCAACAAATCTTTTGCCTCGGTGAAAAATGTTGTGCAAGCTTTACCGAGTCCAAGTATAATGTCACTTGAATTCCACCTTCCAATGATTGTCACCACAGGTGTTTGAAGATGGCACCACGCAAATGGAAGATTTTCCTGATAAATTTGATGCTCATCGAACGTAATTAGTTCCTCGGACGCTGCTGTTCACATGACACCCCAACTCATTTATTGGATTAGTTCCTAGCCGAGAAACTTAACCCACCCTATATTACTAAGACCCCTGGCAAAAATACTTGAGCCTTCATTGCAGGTCTCATCGCCTTTTTCAAACTACTCACTGCCTTGGAAAATATCGCTAACGAGGAAGCACATCCGGTGACATGCGTAGGATATGATCCTCGTAATCGATGAAAAGCACTCCTTTTACTGCACGATTGGGGTTACTGTTACATACCTGTACGATGAAGGGGACGGGACTCCATAGTCACCAAGGGCTATTGATCTTCATCTAATATTAGCACCACTGTTGGTTGGGAGAGATATGATTGGTGGCTTTAGTGTGTGATAAAATGTGGTTTATTACAACGCGTAAGGATATGTCTAAGTAATGTGCACTCATTTAGCTCTACTGATCTAGTTCTTAATAGGTTGATTGCTTTAGCTCGAAGTTTCCAGCGGTCATTGATCATCCTTCACGTAACCAGGCCTTATTTGACAATCATTATGTGGTTTTCCTTCTCCGCCCCAGACAACAGTCCGAACGATTTCAATGGAGCCTATGTGGCTTGTCTACAAACAACTCGTTGGTTTCTCGTCTGGCGCGGTCAGTTCGTACCAAGCAAGGTATTTGCCGTGTCATCTCCAAAGGGATTGAAAGAACTAAGTGGACTCCAAAACGAGGCGAGAGCTAGCCAGTTATTGTCCACCATTCAACCTGACGCTTCTTTCAGACCCGGAAAAGCGAGCGTGGATTTAGCTTCAATGAATGTAAGTTACTTTAATCTGTTGATCCGTATGCTTTCCGCGTTTTACTCTTGCCTGCATTGTCATTAATAACAAGTAATCCTATTCGTCATGGCTTGATCTATCTCTGACGTGTCACAAAAGTATAAATACGTTAGACACCAGTCTACGACTTGTTAATGTGGATCGATTGCTGAGTTACGGAGTTCGAAAAACTCATTCAACCTGTTGGTGAATATTCCACTTATAAATGGTCAAATGGCATTCTGGAATTTCTTCCGGTTCATCATTCGTGTGTTTTAATTTATCTTACTGTTCTGCTTTCCGATTGACTTCACTGGTGGGCCATAGCCGATAATGATAGCTATACTAATAGATTCTAGTACATAACTAAACGGGCGGTAATAACACGGTGGTAACATCCAAATTATCACCCCGGGGATGTGTTCGAATCCCATCACCATCGCCTAAATTCCATTGTGTGGTAAATGGTAACCTTTTGATTGGCCGCTTCACCCTTCCCGAAAATTGTATCTTTGTGCATTCCAAAGAATTAAAGTGAAAAAGAAAAAAATAACTACGGCTTACTCACTAAGATGTGTATACACCCTGTACCCCTCAATATACCCGATAGTAATAAAAAGAGATATTTGTTTGGTTTTCTTGTTATTTTCCAGGTTCTCTCCATTGTTCCGATGGATCGATTGTTGATAACATAAGTATATTTTACCCTCTGATGATGTGCTGAGCTGACAGCGACGAAGTAACATACGGATTCCTGTTCAGTTTGTTGATTTGTGAACTGGTCAGAGCACAATTGCTCTACTGAGCAGATAAATAAATCCTAATTTGTCCATCATGCCACTGTCATTGTTTGGGCCGTCTAAATCCATATTGTAACGTACAGATAACGGTAGGACCGTGAGCCCAAATGAACAAGCGGAAACAGAAATGACCCAGTAACCGAGTGAACACAACACGAATGCTCGCAGACTGCGATACGCAGCACAGTTCTCAAGAGAACCGCAACCCAACCACAGAGAAGCCGGAAGACGGGCCTTCAGGTGAGGTATATTTGGCTCCACCCAAAAGGCGATGGCTGTGGACAACTCATCTGTTTATATACAGTTTCGGGACCGGCCAGTAACGACCTTGAACATAGCTCCAAAATACAGACTTCTGGGGAAATGGACCATTCAGGATCGACCATGGCCTGTGTTGTAGATCGAGAATTTCCGTTGCGAAAATTCGGAAGTTTCAACTTTATAAGAATTAGGAAAATAGGGAAAGGAGAGGGAAACAGGAACTTTTATACAAGGAAATGTTTTTTTCTTACCAGTCGAAATAATCAACCTGTGTGCATCAAAATAATTTAAGACTGACCTGTTTGGAAACTAAAGTGATTGTGCTGAGGACAACTATTGTCTGTAGGAACTCAGATTCAATTCAGGGTATCCGAAAGGAATGATTTGAAATCGAAGCGGATTTTGTTGAAAAAAGTTACTGCTCGTCGATGTATTCTGATACATCGAAAAGAATGGTTGAACTGCCCACGACGAGAGACAAGCAAACGAACGAACTACCTAATTGTTAGTAACCACGTTTTACCCTTGCTTGAAGCGTTCCATGTCACCTGACAAACGAGCACGCAACACATTGTGAATTAGTTGCGGTCTGCGATTCGTGTTGGATTCAAAAAGGATTTGTTTACGTAAGAATCGTAAGTGTGAAACGACCGTCAGTGATGATTTTCCCTGTCACTCAAGCAGACGTCAAAAAATTTCAATTGATTTCACAGAGGCTTGGAGATTGGAGCTTCCTTGAACCGGGTTGGTGCACGTGCCTGCGCCATCAAGCCAGTAGGTTATGTTTCATTTTTTACTACCATTAAACATGCAGTTGGTTGCTGTCCTCTTGTTGCCCATTTGGATGAACGAGTAAATATATGGGCGATTCGGAAGTACATTCTGAGAGAAAATGGATTACTTCAGTAGACTAAGATTGCAAAGAAACAGGAATGCACGAACGCCACTGTTGATGACACTCAGTGTCTCTAACCGCTGGTTACCACAATCTCGAAGTCCGCGTCCAGGGAGCCGAGAGCGACCCTTATTCCATATCTGATTTTGATCACCCTTGGGTTGTACCACTCACTATCTGCCTCGACAAACATCGCGCGCCGCGGCAACCTATTTTGCAATATGCGTAACACATGCTCCAACCAAAATAATCTGTGGAGCTCGACCTTTTGCCCCAATGGGTGCCCGCGGCTACCCAAAACTCTTCGCCTAACCTCAGCATTCCTTCTACGGTTTCCCCACACGCAGACAGTTTATCTTTATCCTGTTTTCCTATGGGCCAAGTTTCTGCGCGGTGTAGCCGAACTGGCAGAACTTCCGCAACATACGCTCAATCCCTCACGGAAGGCCGGATATCGTGGCGGTGCCACAGATGTCTCAAGTTGGTTAATGCCAATCGAACCTTCTGTATGCTAGCTGATACTCCATCCGTAATTCCTCCATCGGGTGAGATATAACTGCCCACATAACAAAACTTGTCCACTTGCTCTAATACTTCCCCAAGTAGAGTGAGGCTGGTTACTGGGCCAACCCAGTCTGAAGGTAACATTTTACACTTTGAAGGTACAAAACGCATACTGAATATGGCTACGCTGGCACTCCAAAAGCCTCGGTACGATCCGATTGCGGTTTTCACACACCGCCCCACTGCCTTGCGGGTCAGGCCTTGGCTAGCCAAAGGCTCTGGTTTTGTATTCCTCAAGAAAATCCACCTACCTGGGCCTGGGCAACCTGGCATTATNCCGCCCATATGAAACTCATGGAACGTTTTTCTTTTTGATAAAGATTATTGTACCGTGATTTGCTTGGCACAGTCTGCATTCAGACGTGTGTAAAAGTATACTAAACATATACACTGACAGTCAAACTATCTGGGATAGCCTGCAACTTACATGGATTTTAACTTAGCAACACAATGTCGTCTGCATATTCCAAACCAGACTGCCAGTCATCTGAAAGCAGGTTGATGCCGTAGTCCTCACACGAGGATAGAGCTGTTTTCATAATGGAATCTGTAACAAAATTAAATTGAAAAAGAGAGAGGGTGCAACCCTGTCGAACACCATTTTCCGTGGTGAACTCAGCCAAAAAAGGGTCGTGAGCTCGGACTCGACTTCGGCTATTGGTATAAAGAGATTGTAATACTGAAATAAGATTCTGGGACACACTCTTCAGGGAAAGGCAGGGCCAAAGTTTAAAGTGGTAAACAGAGTCGAAGGGCGCTTTCCGATCGAGGATGACAGCGATAATGGGTTAAGGAAGGGAATGGCGAGGCTCCAGAACTGGACGAAGAGTGAAGATGTGATTTGTACAACTTCCACCAGGTCTGAAATCAGCCTGATTCCTAAGCGTGCACTTTTCAAGCCTATGGGAGTAGTCCATCTAGGTCGGAGGTCGTACGCCTTTTGAGATAATTTATTATCTAAGAAATCTCCAATTCAGATAGAGGACTGACATCAGCCCGGAATATTTGCCCAGTATAGCCTGGGGTTGTTTGGTTAGATGTCGATGGGGGCCGATTGAACTAAGCCGGGGTGAACACTAGGCATACGCAGTTATTCGGGACTGAGGAAGAACTCGATAAGTGCAAAAGAGGTTTTTTTCCATTTCTTTACTTAAAGCTTTACGGCACGACATACTTCGCGGCGGCCCACGCCGACGAAGGGTTTTTTTACTTGGGAACCCTAACCGGAGCCTTTAACTCAAAAGTCTGACTCTCAAGGCATCGGGAATTTTCGGGTTCTCCTTGATGTACCCTAACCGGATCCCTCGGCCCAAACGTGTGACCCACTAGATAGTGGGTTGTAGATCCATCACGCAAGTTCCACCGAAACACCCGTGTGAGAACTTCTAGAGACCTGTCATGTAAAGCCTTCGGGCTTTGTACAAATTGTAATTTTTGGGAAAACACAACGATGTCGGTACAGGTGAAATAAGCCGACGTTTCGGTTACCGCGTCTAACCTTTATCAAGGCGATTTTTACAATCGGATTTTAGTTCAGTGTATTGTTCGT